GTACAATCCCAAAACATCTGGAGCACCACCTGTACAACACTGACATTGACAAAATCACCATCAGTCAAATGCAAAAGGCAGCTTGACTTGGAACAGCTTATATCCTGCAGTGATACTTGTAACCCCATCAAACATCTACCTATCCCAGGTCCTTGGGAAGGACTTGATAGGTAGATAAAAATGCCAAATCCAGTCTAAACATCGGGCTGACTGTGTGACCAATAATAATACTAACTAAACCTAAGTGTATTTGTGCGCCTTCAAGTGACTCTTGACTTATGTCACTTGTCTGGACAAACCTATGGAGTTTTCTTGGCAACATTTTCAGAAGTGGTTTGCCATGGCCTCCTTCCTAGGGCTGAGAGAAAGTTACTGACCCAAAGTCACCCAGCTGGCTTTGTGCTTAAAGCAGGACTAGAACTTGGAGTTTCCCAGTTTCTAGCCTGGTGCCTTTAGACCCTATACAAAACTGGCTCTCAAATATAAATATATATAAAATACTACAAATTTTGAAATGTTTTTGATCTTTTAGGGTTTTAACACTCTGAATTATAAGTTGTACTTCTAAGTTACCACATATCATTTGTATAAAATAATCCTAACAGATTGGATACAGATTTGATCATATATAGAATACGGATCAATGGAAATCACACAAATTTCAATGGTCTTGCTCAGAAATGAGTAAGTCTGGATGCAACCAATATTTCAACTGAATATTCACTTGTAATTTTTTCTAGGATTCTCTTTACAATTTGTTATTCTTCCAACAAGCTCATGACAGTTGATTAATAAACATTTCTATGTCCATAAAGTTACATAATTTTCCATGCTGCATTGCTTATCAAAAGTGCAATATGGAAAATAATTGGATACAACTGTGCAAGATGTAATACTGTAGCTGTCCTTCAAACAATCTTGATAGTCTCTGTATCTCTCCCTCTCTCTCACGCAAACACACAAATGATCTAGATATGTATTTTCTAGCACTTATAATAATAAATATATTTGTAATAATAATACATAAAAATAAATGCACATACAGATTTTTGAAACAGTTTACAGCCCCAGCTGAACCTTATTAAATGGGAAACACACTCAGCCATAATCTCTTTCCTTATTGGGTGACTGACTAACAAATGGTGGGAATAATGCTAAGAAGTCATGATCCAAGCAGGGTGAAAGGAAGGCTTCCAAGAAAGCAGCCACAGCTAGGCACTAGATGTCCATGTTACATACTGTTATATCCATAAAATATACTCCATACAGTTTATGTCAAAATGCACTTGCAACAACAAAAGCAATAACGAGCAAAACCAATTAACCCGCACAACATATAAGATGTAATAAGACATTGCTGCTGAATGATACTAAGATTGGAAACAGTTCATTCAATTATAGCTCTATTCTTGCGTGCCAGCTTGTTCTAAGCTCACTAGTCAGTATCAGCTTTGTTAGTAAAGTCAACCAGCTCATCCCTCTTCAGCTAGGGTGGAAATAGTTCAAAGAAAGAGCAGGATCCTTGTTAAGAAGTAGGGAAAGAGGAAATAGCAAGGCCCTCCACTGATACAATGACAGATGGAAAAGCAGGCCCAGGTAGGCAGTGCAGTTCCATGAAACTAAATGGGGATCGAAGCAGATGCTACAGCACAGCATGAGTACATCTGTTTACATTTTCTAAGCTCTTTAATGGCAAAAATTCCTGGAAAAGGCTGTTACATAAATGATATACCATACACCTAGCCAATTTCTGTACATAGGCTCATGTTACTTACTGTCCAAGGAAATCTTTTGTCTTGGTGCACATGTGGAATATTAAGAGGCTCCATAGTATTCTTGACATACTGGGCATACATATAATTAATTTGGTTTGTATCATTGTCTCTGTTGAGATTTAAAAAAGAAATGGATTCAGTTCACTGCCTTTATTACCTACTATTATTAGCGACTATTGGAAGCAAATGTTAATGGTCAGCTAAGCAAATGAAAAACACATTGTATTAATGGTTGATGTTCCAAACATGTGCTAGATAGGTCTTATGAAAGCTCTGGATACAGTTACTGTGCTTGAAATCAGGGATTTTAGTGGCTATGATGCTTGATCCAGAAACTCTCCATTCAGTAGCTTAAGGAACATGTCTTTGGGAAGCAGCCATGATAACTTTCAACATAATCTTTGTTTTCAAGAAATGCCTCTGCATCCTATGGGGATGTATATACACCTCCCTTCCTAATCAATCTTTGGCCTATTGCCAAGCCCTCTCAGAGATTCAGGAAGACTTGTGCTATTTCTAACGTTTGAGGTCCCTAGCCATAACAACATTAAAAATGACATCATTTAACATTTTAAAAAGGTCAGCCCAGAAATGTATTACATATTAGGAAAAGTTATTAATATTCTGCATCAGTGTTTCGAGGCATTATTGGGCTGGCTGAGGGTGAATACAGAGCTTAGATATCTAATTCCTCAACTATGTCTTCTCCAATATTTTGGGAATGAAATAAAGGGTTTTGCAGTGCCCCCACCAAAAATATAAAACGTGATTTCCGAATAACTATCTTGGTATTCTTTTTAATAGCCTTGTTGATTGATAAAAATATTTTATTCAAAAAAGACATTTGCTCCATAGAAAATATCAAATTCATTTTTAACCTCACATTTTAGCCTTTTCATATACTGTTTTGTTATTACATTTATTTTTCTTTTATTACGTTTTACTATTTTTTTTGTTATTGTATTTATTGATTATAACTGTTTTAACTGCACTTCATAGTGTTTTCACACTAGTTAGCAAGATATAAATTCTCAAATAAATGAAAGAAACTTAGCTTGAGGTACAGCTGAGTTAAAAACATTAAATGCAAACAAGGAATGTAGTCTACTGGAATGACAGGCATGCAAAAAAAGTGTAGGACAGGTATTTTTAAAATCAGAATTAATGATATGCATTTCGAATTCTGACATGTTTGTAAAGCTATAATAGATTTGCTTTGTGAACAACAGAGAACAGATGGAGTCCTTGTAAATGTTCCCAACACTTTATGCTTTCATATCTCAATGCATATTTATTGTGCTAAGATGGCTA